GAGCTCACCCTGCTAACGCGAAGGCTGGACTCGAACTGCTGAAGCATCGACCATTTCTGGCCAGCAACTTTCAGTGTGTAAGCCACTGCGCCACCGCGTCCCCCTCCCCACCAAATTATACATGACTAAAATGCTATTTATCTTCTCAGAGGAGCAAGATCCAAATAATTTTTTGTTAACTATTATATCCCAAATATTAACACAGCAGGTCTCATAAAAACTTTTAATAATGCAACCATATGTGTTCAGAATTAAGTCTTACTGAACTCACTGTATTTTGTTTTATTATTTTTATATCAAAATATGTACAAGAAGTCCCTGGTTAAGAACGCCCAGGTTACAGACGACCCATAGTTAAGAACGAAGACTATTGTAGCAAAATGTGAGTTAAATACACAATGATTTGAGTTAAATACACAATGGTTTGAGTTCATTACATGATTCTACTTGTACAGTATTATACAGTAGTACTGTTCCGGCTTATGTACAAATTTGACTTAAGGACAGACCTTGGGAATGGAACTCATTCTTAAACTGGGGGCTACCTATAAATACTTTAACCAGTACAAAAAATATTAAAATGCAACAAATAAAATAACAAAAATTAAGATAGGTTAATATAAAACAGATACATTAAAAAGATGAAAGGAGAAAAGATAGGAAAGAATTCTCCCATCACATTACAGGTACTCCTTGACCATTTGTTTAGCGACCATTTGAAGTTACGACAGTGCTGAAAAAATGACTTACAACTGGTCCTTGTGATTTGACTATCAGTGTCCATGCAGTTACTTAATCAAAATTTGGGCGCCTGGCAACCAGCACGTATTTACAACGGTTACAGAGTCCCAGGGGTCACATGATTTACGACCTACCCAGCCAGCTTCTGACAAGCAAAATCAATGGGGAACTGCATGATTCACTTAATACCCATGGCAAAAAAGGTCATAAAATCAGATGTGATCACATGATGCCTCATTTAACAATGAATTTTTTGGTCCCTATTGGGATCATAAGTCAAAGACTACCTGTAAATCAAGGGAATCATGGCCAAGAGACAATGCAAAAGGCATTTAAAATATGTAATAGAGTAAAATGGTGATCTGTGTTTATTTAAAAAATTATTTGAGGATTAACACTTTAAAGTAATGAAAGAAAAAGGTAGTATGAGTGCATTTTCAGGCCAGAAATGTTCTACACGTGAATGAGAATCAACAGAAATGAAAGTAAAACAAGTCTGTTAAATATTTCCATTCAGAGCTACACTTTTAAAAAGAACATTATTTTTTTCCAGAAATTCAGCATTATTTTAATCCTGTATTGGCATAATTAAAACTGACAAATATGAAGCAGCTATATATATAAACCAACTTATCTTGGTTTAAACCTTATCTACACTCACACTAAAGGGTGTGTAAAATCTTACTATAAAACTACAGTGACTATTTTAGAAACAATACTTTTCTGAAACAAAGTGGCACTATCTTTAATGTAGAGTTATTATATTGCATTAGTTTAAAGCAGGACTGACTGAAAAGTTTTAACTGAGATGCCGTCAGGAAAAGAATGTCAAGTTAGCAAGCAAGTAATAACTGATACTATTGCAACTTTATGATGCTGCACTTAGTACATTCACACAGTACTCTAAGCCAAAATCAATCCTAAAGTGTTATGGCTCTGCACAATTATACTCTGCAAACTACTCAGAAACTGTAGTCAAACAGGAACCTCTCTCTGAAAATGTCATGTGATTACTTGTATAATTCTGCTAGTTAGGACTGTACAGCATTGTTTAATTGTTGACTTCCCTCTCCCCCAGCATAACCACTTTTATTATTGTTCTTCATTATTTGTTTTGAATTATTTGTATGCCACTCACTTGTTGGTGAGTACAGTAAGCAGCCCTAGAAATTGAATTTTTAAATAAACAGGTAACAGACATTTGACAATGCTACTTTCTCCCAACATGTTGCACATATTCAGCAACCTGTTTATCTTCTTCCCTACTGAATCTGTTAAAAAGATAAAGTACACCAGTATGCGATGTGCTTTTTAATATCCATTTTAAAACAATACCAGTAAGAGTAGATGTAAGCTCCTTAAGCACGCTGTTGGTCTAAAACAGAGAAAAGAAACAATGTCTAATGACGTGGAGAGAGGTAAGTTTTTCCTACTACATCATGAAGCGCAATAATTGAAAATAAATTCGCAGGCTCCAGGCGGCCACTCTTTTCTCCGCGGCTTCCCATACAGGATGAAACTACACCGTCGGCCAGAGTTTCACAAAACTCTACCCGGACCGGCGTTTGTTCCTAAATGAGAAACCGCCGCTGGAGTTTGCGGCTAGGGGTCAAAGGCACCCGGGCAGGAGGGAAAGTAGTAACGTTTCCCTCAGGCTCATTCCTGTTCTTCACGAGTTGCCCTCTCCCCAAAAGAGACTCAGTGGCCTGAAACTCTTAGCCCGGCCCGAAAAAAGGTCTGCTAGTAAGTCCGAAATCAAAAATGGTAACTCCGCCACAGCGCTTTCCAGGCGGGGGTCCAAGCAACACTTTCAGAGGCAGGCGCAGCTTTATTTCCCGACCTG